ACATAGATCACCTGTCAATCGCACGTATCCTCGTTTCTTTCTGCGGACTCTCTCGATATCGATTATGACAGCATCTCGCAGACGCTTACAGTAGCGGCCTACTGGTCCAAACCTCCGCAGAAAGGTGGATGGACAGAAACAATCGAAAAACGCGAGACAGCCACGGACCAGGTAGAAGTGGGCATGTTGGCATTAGAACGGGCAATAAAACCGGAGGACCTCTCCGTGGGTGGATTCCTAGCCGTCCTAGGTGAGGATCAGTCATTAAGTACGTTTTACCTACCCCAACCTCCTCATCCTTCCCATTTCTTGCTAACATATCACTAGAACCAGCACTCTTTTCCTTTCCATCCCGCCATCACCCCCTCCTGTACTCCTCAAAATACACCATCACCTTCCGACACCCCACAGGACTCCACCCAACCCTCCAGATCTCAATCCCGCGCTCCTCCCTCTCAGAGCCACCCCCGCGTGCGCCCCCAGACTCCAAATGCTCCCTACACACCTACTTAACGCTTCCCTCCTCCCTCTTCGCCGACAAATACCAACTATCCACCACTGACCCGCTCTTCCTGCAATCCCATAACCTCCTCTCCCTCCGCGCCATTGCTGGAGAAACAGACCTCGAAGCTCCAGACTGGGTAACTGATCGCTGGGGTTCAAGCCTGCTTCTTGAGCTCGCCACGCCCTTATCACGTCCGTCGCGTAAACACAAAACCACATACGTAAACGGAAACCACAACGACGACAACGACGACTACGACGAAGATGACTGGCAAATAACCATACCCCTACACCTGCGCTATCTGCATCCTTCACCTAGCGGCTACAGGAACATTAGCGTGCCCTGGCCCGTGGTCTTCTGGGCATGTGCGCCTGAAGACGGAGGAGAAGGTGAAACGGCGGGCGGAGGAAAGACGATGGGAATCAACCCGTTCGACAGAGTAGGGCTAGGGTGGGATGGGTTGTTTGCGCCTGGGACGCTGTTTTACCAATTACATCCCGATACAGCTGCGTCTGCGACAGGCGTGGATGCGCATGCGCTTGTGGAGCAGAGGGGTTTGATGGTTGAGAAGATACAGGTGCCAGTTTTGAAAATTGGGGACGGTGGGGGTCTTTCTGAGGATGTGCATAGTATTGAGACGGTGACTTTGATCGTTGTTTGTTTTGGGTTTTTGTGGGTGTTTCGGAGTTTGGGTGAGGTTGTGAAGAAGAGCGGGCTTGGAAGAGAGGGTGAGAGACGAGATTTAAAGGGGAGGGAGAAGAGGGAATGAATGATAAGAGAGACGTGGGCTTCGGAACCTTTAGAAACCGACTTAACCCCGGGAGGGGGAAGAAAACGGGATCGTTTTGACGAAGGGGGATGGATGGTTTGAAGAGTTCAAACTCCTTTCGATATAACTCTACTATAATTGTTTAATTCCCTATCTATGGGAGATAATAATAATGTCATGTACCATAAACTCGCAATTCCAAACATTAAAAATTGCCATGAAAGTGAGGATTAAAAGAATTAATAAACATTATACCATTCATACACATACATACATACGTACAGTACATCTCCTATCATTCAGCTCGTTGGAGACGACTGATAGAATAAATAACAAGGAGGTAACTGTTAGCTACAGAGGCACGAGACAAAGTCAATGAACAAAAAGGAGAAGCCAACACCCTATAAAGCCTGCCCTTTATCCACCCTTTCTTTTATGTTTTGTGTAAAGCAGATAGAGGAAACACCATAAAGTAAAAACAGCCATCCCCGCGCGCCCAAACAATAGACAACCATAATCAGCCCCATACACACATATCAAGAAATCAATCGCCCCACAAACATCTGCGAAGACACAGGGGAAATAGAAAAGCAAGCCAACACAAAAGTAAGAACAGTGAAAAAACTGCCTCCAATAAGGAATGTGAGGTGTATATCATGATTTTTTCCATCCATATACATGCCTAATGTGCAGCGTACTACAAAACTAACACAACACCAAACAGGGGAAAATGCACAAGAACGGATGGAAAGGAAACCAAGTAGATAACAATCACATTAACAAGACACTGGGCAAAATACAAAATAGAACTAAATGCCAGAGGAAAAACAAGGACTGATAGATAAATGAACATTCATTTCATCCACATGAAGCAAATGGGGCAAAGATGTCAAATGGAGAAAGAAAGGCCTCAACACAAACAAGATAGTGTTGATGATAAGCAGGACAGAAGATCCAGGCAATAGAGAGGAATTGCATTAGACTTCATCATCCATGAGATAGGTGAACCAGCTTCTGGAACTTTAAAAGTGTTCCTTTGTGGTGATGCGCATGTGAAGCATTGGCAGAAGCCAGCATCAATCGATGCATATACACTGAAACCGAAACCCGAAAACTGTAACAGAAATTGAAATGAAAATCCAGAGCAGGGAGGTGCAAAAACAAGTGGATATCAAGTCGGCCGTCATTCATAAAAGACAGAAAAAACACCCGCTTGAAAAGTGGAAACCAGAATGCAAACTTATTTTCTGGAAAGATGAAGACCCAAGCACTGACCATGAGAAGGCATTATTGAACAAAACAGAAGCGGGTGGATAGTCCAATGAGCTGACCGAAAAAGATTTTGAATAATCTTGCTTGACTGAGTATAACCAATTTCAGATGAAATGATATGGTTACATCAACCCAGCAAAGAAATGGTCGGTTAGTCATACATATGTGTGACAAATAATAGTAATCCCGTTTGTAATGAAACTGTTTTTGATTTAATTTTCCAAAGACCTTTCTCGACCAAGCCAAAATCACCAAACACGGCAATGGGAGAGAAACAGGAATAGGAAGAGAAAAATGTGTAAAAAGCACAAAAATCCCCCATGTTTCTGGATGTTAATATGTACTTCGAAGAACCAAAGTGTCGTTAACCAGTATCGTAAGTTAAAATGATATGCACGAATAAAGTGGAAATTCTATACAACAACAACCTGACCTTCTGCATCAGCAGGGTCAGACGCCATCATATCTCCGTATTTGTTAGCGTTGAGAAGTGCAGAGTCATCTTCGAGGTCGATGGCACTATCATCATGGGTCAAATTTCGATTACTTGGCGATACACTGCCATTCGTAGCAGCAATTGTCTTGTCGTTGCCAGAAATTTTTGATATCGAAGCGCTAATGTCGCTGGTTGAGAGGTTTGCAGTTGGAGAAGCTTGGACTATTGGCATTATATTGGGAAGTTGCGGTTGCAATTGGGACCGCGATGCCCGCGGCCTAGAGTTCTGCGACCAATTTGTGTCAGAATTAGCTGAAGCTGATTGTACCGGACGTGGTTCAACTACCCCTTGGATAAGATCTCGGGAAAGCGACGATTCCTCGAACGATTTAGCGGTGCAACCCATGAATCCTCCTTTTTCGGCTTGCCACAACATCATTTCCGAAAAGAACACCTTTGTCATCCACCACGCACTAAAGCTCTGAGCGCCCCCAAGGGTGAGTCGATGGAGCAACCGAGTCCAAATTGCATCTGCGCTGTCGATTATGCACTGGGCCTTGTGATTGGGAAACAAGAAAGGGAGGTTTAAGATGAAGGCGATCCATCGGTCGGGGAATGGGGGCGTATCCTGAGGTATCTGTAGACGAATAGGATAATTTTTGATAGTTAAATGGCTCCCCGTAGAGTTGTGTATCCGGAGATTTGTCATCGTCAGGGGCAATAAGTGATTTTACTTGATGTTTCATGATATCCAAGACCCCTCCAACAGAGCAATTTGGAACTTTTGCCATGGCAACAATGTCCATCGGTTCTATGTACGAAACGAAGTCTTCCCACATTTTCGTTCGATTTTCAGCATGACAAAGCCAGGCAGAAGCAGCAATTGCAGACTGATTAACGTCTAACATGCGCTTCAGAAGGCGACAAAATATCCGCGCAGGGCTAAGTCTAGCCCGGCACACATGGTCTGGATGGGATTTCAAAGTTTCCTTGACATGGGAGACTAGGCCTCGAGAAATCGACCCGAATGCATTCAGCACAGGATCTGGCACAACCTGAGTGGTTAAAGGAGCCACAAAAGCAATCATCTTTTGATACATCAGCCAATCGCATTCTTTAATCCACGGTGCAACGTTCGGATGATTGAAGAGCTTATGGACCGGAACGGTAAGGGTGCCTTGGAAAGAAGCGAAATGGCGGAAGAGGTTTTTCTCTTTGCAATATCGGAAGCTGTCGATGACTGATATACAATGTGAACGGTATAGAGCTGCAAGTGCATCGGCGCTTTCGCTGTCGGTGTTCGCTGGCAGATAACCATGAATGCTGGGAAGTTGAAGGGAATCATTGTCGATTGGTGGGCTTTCATTAGGACGGCTGAATTGCAGCAGTTGATTCATCAGTTGCTGGGTCTCGATAAGAGGTGTTTCTACCGTTTCCATAATATTCAATTCTGATGGCTGCAAATGGTCGCACAAATGATCAGTCGGCGAAGGCTGAAGGACATCGGGTGTGGGAGAAGTAATTTTTCTTGATGAGGTGAAATCAGTACTGGTGGTGTTCTGTTGTTGCGAGGTACTGGAATGGTATGTCAGACTTGAACGACACAAAAAGTAAAACAACTTTCAAGGTAATGAAGTCACACTTTTCTTGGGATTTATCAGCCATCTTTTGACGAGACGGAGTAGCTTCCGCATTTTTCTCTGGAATTTCCGTTGGTGTGTTTGGATTAGGTTCTCGAATGGTCAAATCGACATAATGGTATTTGGACTCGCCGCGAACCCCAAGACGTCGAGTTTGGACATTTGGAAATATAATGCGGACAAGCTTGCCAAAGGAGGCTGGGTTTAAAACGGAAACTCTCTCAGTTCCACACTTTTCCGCATAGGAGCAATAAACGCGGTCCCGTCGAACTGATCCAAAACTTTTTTGACAATTTTCTCTCAACCTAATACTGAAGTCAGCATCGTAAACAAAGAGCAGTGTCAATTCTTGGTGTACCATATCATCGCGAAAACCTGCTTAACCTTCTCCGACTTCCCACCAGTGCCATCATGTCTCTGAACTTCAGCAGCCATTTCGTGTAAGGAATATCCATCATATTGACGCAGTAGACGACGTAGTTCATTATCATTGGCTATCGCCGTGGTTGTGCCTCTTCGTTTCCGAGGTCCTGCTTCAGAGCCTTCGTTCTCGCCCAACAAGTGGTCTGGGAGCTGGGGATCTACACTGTCATACAGTTGGGTATAGTTGCCAGGTGGAACATCGCTTGGATTACCGTTGGGGGGTAACTCGATTGGTAGTCCATGAATTGGCAGATTGTGAGTATGAAGCTCATTGCCTTGAAAGGGTCTGTCAGCTCCGGGTCCGGCGACATTGTTTGGGTGTTCTTGCAGCGCAGGGTCAATAACAATACCAGAATTCGAATTGGCCAGCTGGTCACCAAAGCGGAGAATCATCTCCTCGGGGTTTGAATGGTATATATGTTGGCTTGGGCCAGGCTCTGGGTGAATATACGACTGATATCCCTCCGTGACATGTTGATCTGGATTATATTGGGCTGTGTTGGAATGGATGCTCGCGGTCGAACCACGCGATCTCGATGGCCGACTAATCCGGGAAGCAGTTGTGGTAGAATATGACCGCGTGTGTTCGGCTGTGCTTTGACGGGTTCGTGATCGCGGTTGTGAGTTCTGTGGCAGGTTATTGGAGCCTTGGGAAGGATGTTGCACTAGACGGTGTCGGACATCTTTTTCAGCAATTCAGTCCCCAGTGGCCAGTGTCAAACGAGGTGAACGAACTGAAACCAAGTCCCGGCCAACGCGACGAGAGAGATACGTACCAATATCGGAAGCCATGCTTGGATGGTTCATATCCAATTGTGTCGCTGACTGGCAAAAAGCCGCCAGTTTATTGTGGGGTCCAAGTCCCAGCGACTGTTTTGATTGAGACTCGAGAATACCAGGTGAGACAGGGGTTGGTCGGTGAAGAGGAAGCTGTAAATGGTGGTGGCATCAACTTCAGGCAAAGAAAGGGAACGTATAGACAAATCGGATGAAATCACGCTACAAAGAGCTCATTATTGTCGTTGTTCTCATCGCCGTCGTCGTTGGAATCATGCTGATGGATGTGTGTGTATGGTGCTGGAGGTGTGTGTAAACAAGATGTTGTTGATGGGGAAACGCTTTGAATGTTATTCCCCGATTGGGACACCACAGGTCACGCGACGAGCAAGCCACTTTTCCAAGGTTACAGCCACATCGCTTTGCTGAGCCACAGAATGGAACCATCAATCACGTGAAAGTGCCAGTTTGCTGAGTCAGTCGTTCACGCTTGACCTGTAATTATACAGCCCGATACGCAATTGACAAGCCTTTGAGACCAGCCGATACGCCACGCATTACGTCGCATGTTACTCCAGCCGAATCGCCAACCTAACCTTCGAAGCGGCCCCTGCCATCCTCACTTCATCGACATCCAAGGCTCCAATCTGCCAACTTCCAATCTGTTCCTGTTCTTCAACCGTTTGTTTGTGAGTTACATATTGCTGCTATCAACGACTCCTCTGCTTCATTTACGAATTGACATCTTTTACTTCCATCTAACCCGGCGGTTCAGCCTGTACTAGCCACTCTGCGGGCTTTTGAGCTGTTCTAACCGACGCACACCGCATTTATCATGTCCTTCCAAGATCGTGTCCAGCACCAGATCGCTCAGATCGATAAGGAGGTATGTACATTTGTCGTTATTATATATATGTATCTTAAATGCCCTAGCACGATTTGATCATATTTCTATTGTGTCCGGAGTCCGTTTCTTCCAGCTGGTTGAACCCACAAATGAGGTGATCTTCCTAATCCCTCCGGTTTCTTGTACTGATTCGAATATCATCAACTCTAGCTTTCCAAATACCCGGTCCTGAACAATCTCGAAAGGCAGACATCAGTTCCAAAGGTCTATGCCTTTCTCGGCCTGGTCGGCATCTACTTTTTCCTGATTTTCTTCAACATTGGTGGAGCTTTCCTGGTCAACCTCGCTGGCTTTCTTGTTCCTGGATACTACTCTCTCCAGGCTTTGTTTACAACCACAAAGACAGATGATACTCAGGTATGACTATCATCCTTGTGTCTTTAATCTTTGGAGTGATCGCTATTTCTGCCACATTTTGTCACCCCTTGCTTTTTTCTTGATGATCATGATTGCTGACATGCCGTAATCACCATATAGTGGTTGACGGTTCGTGCCAATTTCTTCCAGGACTCCCACACCCGTCTAATTCCTCCCGCCCACATGATGTAATACTGATCACCTTCAATTAGTACTGGGTTGTCTATGCCTGTTTCACTGTTGTCGAGAGCGCTATCAGTGCTGCCTATTGGTTTCGTAGGTCCCTACTCTCCCTACTATCCCTGATAATATCTGTGTACTGTTCTTTCCGTCGTAAATACTGACGAGCTGGGCGCAGCATTCTACTATCTTTTCAAATTTGTTCTTATTCTGTGGATGGCTCTTCCCCAGACCAGGTAAGCATGTACTCATATATGCGGTACCCCATATATCTATATATATCTATACATATGTGTATATGTCAACCCTACCTCGTTGCACGTCCACCCCTTCTAACTCATACCGATCAAACCATTTAGCGGCGCACAACTCGTCTTCCATTCCTTCCTCCAGCCAATCTTTGCCCGGTATTTCACCAGTGGATCCACTTCCTCCAACCTCCGTTCCCAGGCAGAGCAAGCCGCCAAGGGCCACTCCCACTCGTCCTAAACGTTGAAATGGACGATACAGAATAAAAATTTTTCTGTTTTCGTGTGCCGTACCCTGCCATTAAGCTCCTGCCTCGGCACCTTGACTGATTTTTTCAAGTCTTCTTTCAATTCCGTTAGTTTTATGAGACATGACCAAGTTTTTGTCAAAAAAAATTGTAACAGTGGAAGGCTTTTGTTTGTGCATAGTGTGGTTCTCTATATATAGCGACCTCCACGGATACTGAGAACTGCAAACTTTGGTCTTTCTGTATTTTCGTTATCGTTCGTTTAGATGGTTTTGAGGAGCGTCGGCTGTTGACGTCACGGGATATGGGGTGGAGCGCAAGAGGTGAAGCGAATCGGGGATCCGGGATCCTGGAGGTTCGGGGTAACCAATTTTTGTTTGTTTCTGTCTTTTTGTTCCCTTTCTTTGAGGCATAATATTTTTCTCTCCACCCTTTCGTTTTCCTTTGGTGATCCGTGTTTTGCTGAATCAAGATACATACTGCTCTTCATCCCTGAATGAAATATCTTTGCCGCTATTTATTTTAATTCGCAAAACAACTGTTATCCTAGGATCGAATAACAGGAAGGAACAGAAGATTGTTTTCTACTCTTCTTTCGGGGGCATTCAACGCAATGAATTCCCTTCCCCCTATTGTACTCGGGTGCGTGTTGAATACTCGCCACAGCTCTCTGCTCCAGCAAAATCGGGCGACGTAGAGTAGATGACAGCGGGTAGATATGGGGTGTTTTTGTTTACACGCGACAGGGGCGCGGGAAATAAATAAATAAATATCAGTCTTTCGGTCAAATTTCGTGTGTTGAAACGAACCATCGCATCGTATCGCATCGCATTCGCATTCGCATTCGCAGGCCGGGGCAGGGATGGCCTCAATATAGCCCGAACTTATTCCCCCAATTATCCAACTTGGGATTCAGGACGATCTGATATGGGAATGGATTGGCATCGCTCGTGGTAATGGGCGGGATGTGATCCTTGTCCTTGTTGACGACAGAAACGATCTTAAACGCGGCGTTCTGTAGCATTTTTTCCATGGCGTTGCGGACTTTGGTGCGATCTAGACATAAAAACGGAAGAATCTCTTTAGTTTTGACATGCGTTTGGACATGCGTTTGGAAAGCGTGGTATAAATAAAAAATAAAAAAAATAAAGACGGCGACGGAAGAAGAAGAAGAAGAAGAAGAAAAAGAGCAGCACATACCCGACTCCGTCCGCGGCGTCGCAATCGTAACATCAACCGTCCACACTTCCCAACACACCTCCTCCTCATTCATAACCGTAGCAGCACCACCAACTCCCCCTGCTCCCACTTCCCCAGTCCCAGCCCCGCCGCCGCCGCCGCCGCCGCCGCCTCCAACGCCGCCCACGCCTCTCCCCGCCAGCCCGCCTACAAACCACCTGCCGCCCCCAACAAGACCCGCCCCAAACCCACCAGCCACCTTCCGCCTTCGCTTCTCAAAGAACTGCACCGCAATTCGCCCTCGCACGCCGCCATTCGGCGAATTGGCCGACGAGGACAGATGGTGGCGCACCAGGGCGTTGACGCGCGCGTCGATGAGGGTTTCGAGCTCGACGTCGCTGATGGCAGGTAAGGTGAGGTTGAGCACGTCAAGGGAGGTAGGGCGGATGCAGGGGAAGTAGCGGTGGAAGAAGATTGTGTGGAGGATGCCTGTTGGGTTGCGGGTTGTGTTAGTGGTTTTCTTTTTCTTTTTCTATATAATTCGGTAGGGGCGGTTTTGTTAAGGGTGGAAGGGGTAGGGAGCAGGCGGCCTAGAGATTTAACTCACCTTTGACAATATCCTTGACAGATGTGGGATCTGCGAAGACCTCGAGGATATACTCTGGCGGCTTGTGAGAGCTTATCTTTTGCGATAGCATGGTTTCCGGCTGCGTTTTTGCTATGTAAAATTGATGGTATACTTATGTTTTGTTTTTTCACCCTCTCTCTCCCTCTCTTTCTGCTTTGTGCTTCCTCGTGTGTTGCGTAGGCTTTTAAGATCGTAATAGGGAGATTTTCAGGTATCCATATGCGGAATGCCAAAAAAAATGCAATTGTTTGTGGGTGATGCGGGGAAGTTTTAAGAAGTTGATTAGGACTCGCTGGGGACACGAACGGCGATTAGAATCCTTTTTCGTTTCCCCTGATTTCTATATTATACTTTGGTCTTTCTCTGCTGGTATAT